TCTTTCCCTTCTACCTTCAGATGTGCTTTAGTCAGTCTTATCTTAAATCTTGTACTGGTTTTGCCAAGCTTTGTCTCCTTGCTTGATACGTGAACCTAGCAACGCCATTAAGAGCCCTGTGGCTCTGGAGTTTGAGCTGCCTGGGTTCAAATCTCTTGCTTACTAAGTGCATGAGCTAGGGTTGTTGTGCGTAGATGACATAAGTACATATTATACACGTAGAACAGAGCCTAGCACATAATAAGTCTTTTTTTTTTTAATGAAAGCTTATTTATTTATTTATGGCTATGTTGGGTCTTTGTTTCCGTGCGAGGGCTTTCTCTAGTTGTGGCAAGCGGGGACCACTCTTCATCGCGGTGCGAGGGCCTCTCACTGTCGCGGCCTCTCGTGTTTCAGAGCACAAGCTCCAGACGCGCAGGCTCAGTAGTTGTGGCTCACAGACCTAGTTGCTCCGTGGCATTTGGGATCTTGCCAGACCAGGGCTCGAACCCGTGTCGCCTGCATTGGCAGGCAGATTCTTAACAACTGTGCCACCAGGGAAGCCCAGTAAGTCTTTTATAGGTATTTCTTGCTACTGCTGCTGTTTAATTCTTTTTCTTCTATTAATAAAAAGCCATAGACTGTGTGGCTTGTCTCCATCACCTTTGCTTCCTATTTATCCTTTTCATACTTAGACTCCTGTGTTGTAGCTTGTACCATTATTCTGTTGAAATTTCTCTTATAAAGGTCAACAGTAATCTCTAGGTCAAGCCCATTGGACTCATCACTCTTGACTTTTACGTGACATTATACTAAACCATCTTCCTTTTGAAACTCTTTCTTTCTGGTTTCTCCAACCTTCTACTCTCATTTCTTCCAGTTTTCTTCTTTGATGGATCCACTCTATTTTAGTATTTCCAATTTCTCTGTCCACCCCCTAATTTTGGGTATTCTCAAGTCTCTGATCTTTTCTTGGTATAATCACTCCCTTTGTGTTCTTTCACATTATGCTTTCCAAATCTTTCACCTCCAGGTCTGATCTGAATATACCTCTAGCTGCTCAGAAATATTTCCACTGTGGATGCAACACTGCCTTGTCAACTTCCACCAATACATACAATTATACTGGTTACCTTTCACACCTACCAAATGATTCCCTTTCCTAACTAACCAGTTTCTGTTAATGAAACCATAAGTTTTCTAATTTCTTGAGATGGAAACTTTAGCGTCATTTTAAAACTATTCTTTGTCCTTCATCCTTTATATCTCACCAGAAGCTACTGTTTCCTTTTTCAAAGTATCTCTTGAGGCTGCCCCACTCTCTCCGTTCCCGGCTAGGTCTACATGTTGTTTATATCAGATCTAACACTGCAATGAGCCCTTAACCAATTCCTCTACCTCTAATGCCTCTGTGCTCTTCTAATCCATTCCTATATATCACTCCAAGGTTAATTTTCCTAAACTATCACTATTTTGATGACTGTAATCTGTTCGGAAACCCAAGTGACCCTCTTGCCTACTCTGTCAAGCCCAAACTCCTCCATCCGACTTTTAAGGCCCTATAACCCTGCCTTTCCTGTACAGAATTTTTTATTTCTCCACAACATATTTATCAGATCTATAAAAATAACCATCTTTTTTCCTGGTTCATCCTTTTTCTTTCATTCATCCATCTAAATCCTATCCAATAATTTCACTGCTGCCACCCAGGTGAATTTCTCCTCTGAATCCTTTTAAATATTAGCAGTCAGGACCCAGTAGTTTAACATTTAATTATTCTCAAATTCCATAATTTACTTTAGTTTTGCCTCTTACCAGACTGTAAATTACTTGTTGACAGGAAACTCATCTTATGCTTATTTTGTCTCCCCCAATGTGTCTGACCCAGGTCTAGGCATGTAAATATTAAATAAACTTATTGGTTGAATTAGTAAGTATACTTCATTCATATGCACAATCCATTTTTTTTGCTTGAAAGCCAAATTAGTTGTTTTAAATATTTTCCATTTTGTACTTGTTTGATTTTTTTTCAACCCATATGATTTCACTAACATTATCTAATTATGGTAGATCTACATTTCTATGGGTCCTTTGTTACAACTATCATTTTTAAATAGTAAAGCATTTATTAAATAGTTTTTACAGAATCTATCTTCAGCCTTGTATTTTTCTGTTCTTTTTATTCTTTTTCTTCTGGTAAAGCACATAGAGACACATGCTTACTGCTTAGAGAAACATTACTTGGGCAGTGTGTTCAGTCAACAGCTTGAATTAGGGTTCTTCAGTGTAAGTGGACTAGACTTAAGCAGTAGCCTCTGGGCTATTGTCAAATTCTAGAATCAGTTTTCTAAATTGTTCCCTTTTTCCCACAAGTTAATAACTGCGTGCATAAAGAAAGAGAAAGAACAGGAAGTTTTTGTTACTTACTATGTTGTCAGAGTTCTTACTTCTAAAATATAGGGTCACATTTTTCAACTTGATTAGCAAAATTGTAAATTTCCCTTAAACTGCTTCCAGTGGCACCATAATTCTTACTACTGCCTTTAAGAGGTATCCACTCTCTTATCTTTCAAGATATGCTCCTATGTTATGGGCCATGGCCATTTTCTGGAAAGACTGTGGAAGAGTTTTAAAGCCTTTACCTGAACAGAGCCTGGCATGAAGAAAGATACCCTCAGTCTAAAACTGAAATCTGCTTTGATTTCCCCTCTGTTACTAACTAGCTGAGTCACTTTGGGGAAATCACATAATGTATCTATATTTCATTGATCTGATCTGTAAAATGAGGATGATTTGGAATGGATTTTTTTCTAAGAGTTCATAAAATCTAATATTATGCTTAAGGTTATTTTTTTAGGAGCTCCTGAACACTCTTTGTTGATGTGCCAAAACGCACTGTACTTTTAAAAAAAATCTAACACCTACATCTTGGTATGAAAGAATAGATGTGCTCAGTTTCTTTTTTCACCTCGAGTTCTATATGACTGTAAACCAGTCAATATCCATCACAGCCAACTAGTTCATGATTATACCTCAACCTAAAGATTTATTATTCTTAGGGGGTTGTTTAGGCAACTACGTGCTGTGCTTGTAAATAGCTTATAGCTTTTTTTCTTCACTTCAAAACTATTTGTTTTCCCAATATAGTACTCTTGTGAATTAAGAGTCCCTAATAAATAAATTAAACTAAATAGCCATTAGATTGAGAGGAAGGAATAGACATTTATTCTTCTAGTTCTCTAACCAGTGATGGATATTCAGTTTTGCAAATTCCATATCACTATTGCCTCCTCTAAAAAAAAATCTGCCCCCAAATCTGGATACTTACATAAATAAGTGCATATTACAATTATAAAAATATCACTTAGAAATATAAAATTTTACTGTTGCCTCTACTGAATATTGTTACAGGTATACCTCCTTTTATTGCACTTCACTTTATTGCAATTCAAAGATACTGCATTTTCTTACAAATGGAAAGTTTATGGCAACCCTGTGCCAAGCAAGTCTATTGGTTCCACTTTTCCAACTGCATTTGCTCACTTCATGTCTCTCTGCCACATTTTGGTAATTCTCACAACATTTCAAATTTGTTAATTTTGATTATATTTGTTATGGTGATCTGTGATCTTTTTTTTTTTTTCCTGGCTGCGCCGCATGGCTTGCAGGATCTTAGTTCCCCAACGAGGGATCAAACCTGGGCCCATGGCAGTGAAAGGGCTGAGTCCTAACCACTGGACCACCAGGAATTCCCTGTGATCAGCGATCTTTGATGTTACTATTGCAAAAAGACTATGACTCTCTGAAGGCTCAGATGATGGCTAGCATTTTTTTAGCAATAAAGTTTTTTTTGTTGAAGTATAGTTGATGTACAATATTATGTAAGTTCCAGGTGAGCAATGCATAAAGTGATTTACCGTTTTTAAAGGTCATACTTCAGTTATAGTTATTATAAAATATTGGCTATATTCCCTGTGTTGTACAATATATCCTTGAGCAATAAAGTATTTTTCGATTAGGGTATGTACACTTTTTTTAGACATAATGCTATTGAACACTTAATAGACTACATTACAGCTTAAACAAAACTTTTATATGCACTCGGAAACCAAAATTTGTGTGACTTGCTTTATTACGACATTCACTTTATTTCGGTGGTCTGAAACCCTAACCCGCAATATCTGAGGTATGCCCGTATTTACATGAGCATTTGTCATAAGCCGTTTATTTTGATTTTTATTTAAGGTGGTTATGTTTCCACAATTAGCAGTAAAACCTTTCGTTTCCTACCTCAAGCTTTTAAAATTTCTCAACACCATATAAACTAAACCTCTTCTCTAGTGTAAATCAGGGGTGATTTTAAGCTTGCCTCATTATGAGACGTGAAAGAAAATAACTTGTAATTCTACAGAGATTCACATAAGCATCTCAGAGAATCAATCACAAAGCATCCTGCTAGCCTTCAACCAGTTTACAGCTGCTTTAACTCATGCCTCCCATTTCACATCGGGCCTCAGTAGAGAATGACATGTCTTTCTCCATCACTACCAAAAATTCTGGTTTTCAAATCACTACTGAAGTTCAGCAGAGAACCCTGCTGAGTCTATGTAGTTTTAACTTAGAGGAACCAGGTACAAGAAATCCAAAGTGAGCCAACATCTCTAGGCCGTCTCTGATTGTCTGCACACTGGTTCTTCAAGATGGCAGTTAAAACTATGTTTTTGAGTAGTTAGCTTAGTTTTCTATCATTTGTTCTTCTGTTAACTGGGTGGAACCTGCCGTGTATAATTTTTAGGTCTCACAAATATAGTTATTTAACAAGCTTATTTAAACCCCTTCTGTTATAGTTCAGTTTCCAATAATAATGTTCTTTTATTTAGGCAACTCATTTTAAAACATGTTGTTATCCTTGAACTTTAAAAAAGACAAGCTAGTTTTGTGCTTAGGTGGAAAATGAATCATACATGGCTCAGGTTGGAAAACCTCTGAGACTTTACATTTTAAACTCCTTCCCTCTCTAAGGTTTTATGTTTTTGCTGTCCAGTTAAAAATGTTATTTATAATTGGAAAGTAATGATAAAGAAATTATTTCTACTCTATACTTTTCTAATAGCCTTTTAAAAATGACTCATCTACCCATATAGGAGCAAAGGAGTAGCTTTCTCATAACCTTAAATTCAACTCTTGGTTTAGGTGAATCCCTTAAGAATAAAATAAGTGGTGCCTTATGTTACATAGATATGATGGTATAAAAATCTGGGCCTTGACTTTTTTATAAGCTTGCCCCAGTTTGTGGCCATTTTGCCTTCTATCTTAGAAGCACTGGTTATTTTTTCCTACCCTGTTTTCTCTGAAGCTGTAATGACCGTGACTGATCTTATCATGGAATACAAACTTGAACCATCTGTACACGTGCATAAATGTATTGTTTTCTAAGGAATGATGCACCATATCACTAAAAACTCAAGTGTTTGAAGTGAGATGGGTGGATGATGTTAAGATTATTTTTTACAACAACGACAATAAAAAACAGCCCCAACACCTTGAATTAGAAATTGGAAGGGAGCAGTGGAAGACAAAAAGATGGAGTTAAACCGATAGTCACAAGTTTACATGTAATTGGACAGTGTTTGTCTAGGACCAGAGCTCCTAATGGAAAATGTCCTCTCCCCTAAAATCGCATAAAGTGGTACAGGCCTTACAGAACTTTTAGTACAGCACTTAGACTAGAAAATCTTAATACAAAAATGGTTTGGGGATTGGTTGTTTTAGAGATTCATACTTTGAGAGAATAAATTTTGGTACAGTATTCAAGCCCTTTACATTAAGAAACAAGGCGAATCCCATGTCAATTCCTGTCTTAGTCATGGCACACACACACAGACGCACACAAACACACAGACACACACAAACTAATTATAATGCACCAAATGAGATACAAACTAAAAGAAAAAAATATTACTTATACAATTAGATATTTCCATTTTCTCTAATGAAAGTACTCTAGAAATAGAGTTTTTATGAGTAGGAAAGTTTCTCAGCTCCCAATTATGCTGACAAGCCACCAGTGTACACTATTTTACTTCATAATTTAAATCAGTGAATTAAAATGTTGACATTTCTTTTATCTTTATCCATAGATTTTTAAATAAAATTCTAAAAAGAATTTTTAAAAGAATTTTTACAATCTATGGTATTCATTTGAAGATAAGATATGTTTTCAGGATCTTGTCAATTCCTTATAAGACATCAGTCTTGGCAAAATATATTCAAAATCTTATTTCAGAAATGTATTACTGTACTTTGGCACACAAATTAGGTAACTCTGTCTTTATCAATACATTTTCCCAACAGAGGATTACCACCTTAACAGTCACGGTAACTCCTATTGCATGATTTCTGTGGTTTGTGACTTTGTATTCAGTGTTGATGCATGCCGGTCATAATAGTACTAATGTAGCCATTGTTTTTATCTGATATTTAATGTTATGTTTTCTTATATTAGTAACCTTTTACAACATTTGTCCCAGTTGAATCACTTTGTCTGCTTAGTAAAAAAGTCAAAAAAAATTTTATTGTTATTTTTTTTTAAAGTCTTTGGCTTTATCTTAATAATATGGCTTTGTTCTTTAGTGTTTGGGAAATCATAGCCTTTGTGGGGGGGAGGAGAGAAGTGTTTCTAGAAACACAGGAAATATTAGGAAACTAATTCAACCCCAAAAGATGTATGTGGGACATGGCAGCAATTTTACATTGTCTTACAAATCAACTCTAGAGCATTATTTTAACCTAAATGTGTTGATTTTTTTCTGCATATAAGTAGGTAGTTTTTATAATTCCGTAACCAGTGAAATGTTTCCTCTTTGCAAACCAATACTGGAGGATATTTGATTATGATAGAAATTAGGGAGGTGTGGAGTGTACTTAGTATTTAAAGCATACATTTTATTACAGATACTATCTTTTAAAACTAAAACTTTGTCTTTTCTGGATTTAGGGTCCCCCTGGACCACCTGGACCTCAAGGACTACAAGGGCCAAAGGTTACTCTTTATTTTACTTGTTTCCATTTACTACATATGGTGCAGAGAATCCCATATTAAATATATGTATCTCTGAAAATCAATCTTACAAAATACTGGAGGAGCTGAGATCAACAATATTGCTTAAGAGAGCTGAGAATAGAAATTGAGGTCTGGGGCTTCCCTGGTGGCGCAGTGGTTGAGAGTTTGCCTGCCGATGCAGGGGACACGGGTTCGTGCCCCGATCCGGGAAGATCCCAAATGCCACAGAGTGGCTGGGCCCGTGAGCCATGGCCGCTGAGCCTGCGCGTCCCGGAGCGCGCAACAGGAGAGGCCCCAACAGTGAGAGGCCCGCGTACTGCAAAAAAAAAAAAAAAAAAGATAAATTGAGGTCTGGGCTGAAGGAAGAGGGGTCAGAAAAAAGAAAAATTAGGAAAGAAGGGAGAGAAATAGAAACGGCATTAAATTTAGAAGGAGGACATTCAGAAAAACAGAATATTAAACAAAGGAAAAACAAGTTTTACGGAAATTGTAAGCGTAGAGAAACACTAAATGTGGTGTATGGAAAAAGGCAAATATTTAAATAGAAGAGGATTGAAGGAAAATTTACTCTGACACCAAAAAGGTTCATTTCTTTCAATCCTTTCATAATAAAAAGAACAAGAAAAGCTTCAGCATGACGCATTCACAAATGACAATTTTAGGAATCACTTTCAGTCATTTTCTAACACATCCTGCTATACGTATTCAAACATTCTGCCATTTAAATTTCATCTAATAAAACATACCAACTATGAACAGTAGAAACCAAATTACTTGATTATATCTAAAATGTATTGGTAACGTTAGCTTTCTCCCTCCAAACTTAAGCTTATTAAACCACGTTCGATCAATTAATACATGGCCAGCGATTCTGGCTTTTTAGAACTGAGCTACACGTGTTGAAATACGACTTTCATCATTGGGTTTTTTGTAGGAGATTCAAGTGGTGTCAAAATCCATCTTTTGTTTATGCCTTTAGGCAGTTTATTTGCTAAATCTACCTCATACACACACACGCACACACACACACACACACACACATCAGCTTTTGTACTTTTCTCTTTCAAGATACTTAACTGAAAGCTAACACATAGAAACAATTATTTTTCTATTATTAAAAGGAATGTGCAGTAAAATATTACTGAGGTCCTTGGCTATGTGAGATATATTTAGAACATAGACGCTAATTTCAAACAGATTTCATGTAAAACATTACTGTAAGTTTGGGGATTTTTTATTTTCTATTTCTCCACCACATTCTGCTCCCTAAGAGATATAACACAAAAAATGCTCCGATCATATGCAGTCTTTATCCCTGGTAAGCAAGTTGGCCTGGATCCCTATTCTTTAGTATCTTGGTGAGCTGGACTAGAAAAGCTAGAAGGAAATGTGTAGATTCCTTTTTCCTCTGTGTAGAGTGAACCAAGATCTAAGTTCCTTGCTTTATGCCCCCACTTGACTAAGGCTCCAGAAGCAAAATTGTCCTCAATGCTAAATATGTACCTTATTCCATACAAACCTCAAAAACTTCTAGGACTTGACTCTTCTTTGTAGCCCAAAGGCCTACGGAAGCCCAAAAAGTACTTGACCCAAAGAAAGCTACCTAGCTACCTAGCCAAGAGAGCTATATCATTAAAACCTACATCCCCTGTGTTTTATAATCCAATTGCTATTCATTTATTAATTATATTAATCAACAATTAATTTGGGGCCTCTATTCCATGGTAAATACTGATATCTAGTAAAGATACTAGGATATAGCAAGGGGTTTTATTTTATTTATTTATTTTTGGCTACGTTGGTTCTATTGTTACTGCACACAGGCTTTCTTTAGTTGCGGCGTGCAGGGGCTACTCTCTGTTGTGGTGCACAGGCTTTTCATTGCAGTGGCTTCTCTTGTTGCGGAGCACGGGCTCTAGGCACACGGGCTTCAGTAGTTGTGGCTCGCGGGCTCTAGAGCGCAGGCTCAGTAGTTGTGGCACACGGGCTTAGTTGCTCCGCGGCATGTGAGATCTTCCCGGACCAGGGCTCGAACCCGTGTCCCCTGCATTGGCAGGCAGATTCTTAACCACTGTGCCATCAGTGAAGCCCAGCAAGGGGTTTTAACAAGGAGCTTTTAGCCCAGGGATGGAGAAAGGCAAATAAAGGCACAATTATTAATAAAGAGAGTAAGTGTATTGGTTAAGATGCATACAGGAAGGCTCCTCTCTGCCTTGGGTCAAGGATGACTTTGAGCTGAAACTGAAAGGCAGGAAGAAATTGGCCAAGTAAATGTCTAGACAAGTAGGGTGGGGGAGGGTTGTTAGTCATACTCCCTTACCTCTTACCGTGCCACCCTTCCCACTATTCCAGCACTCTGGCCCACCTCGTACACGCCACAATCATCTTGTAATTGAGATCTTGGCCTAGTTGATACAGTCCTTCATGCTTTCCATTATCTCCCCTTGAGAAGGTTGGGATAATTGCGGGGAGTTGTGCCTATGACCAGGAGTCAGCAAATTCAGCACGAGGCAAATATAAAACCCATTCTCACTGAGGACACACAGCCTCAGACTGAATGGGAACCTATTCAAATTAGCATTCCTCCTTCCTTTATCAAACAAGGACTGTTTGACTTCTTATACATCAAACAACTCTTTACAAACTACTTTTGGTGGGTGCAGGATAAATGAATAACTCATGAATTATATTTTCCTTTAAACATTTGTGGGTCACATTTTGAAGGGAAAAGCATAGCAACCATTACTGGACCCAGAGTGCTGACAAATATTCAGACTGCATGAAACTAGGGCTTAGCCAGTTGCATCCAACCTTAACAGACTTGTTGGTGGCAAAATAAATGTTGCCGCTACCACAAAGAGCAGGAAATCTGGAATTTTTTAAAAAAGGTTTTTTTTCTTTTTTTTTTTTTTCATGTGTTTGTCATGCCTTCCTTTAACATTTGGAAGGCTCAGATTTCACACTATGACCAATAGCTCTTAAAGTTCTAACCAGGGAAAGCAACTCTAACCATTTCAATATTGTGGTTTATAACATCACCAAACAAGCCTTTCTAGAAAAATACAGCCTCAAGTCAGTTCCCTTGGAAATCTGTCTGCGAGGCAGGCTACTCACACACTCCAAAGAATTGTTTTTACAAAGTTTCCGAGGTGTGGGCATCAGAGATATTTATAATGGGGTCTACATAAATGACCCATTGATATAAAATAATATCTTGCCTTTCAAAGAATTTGTTTGTTCAGTACCTTTCCAATTGAAAGGTAACTGGACATTTGTTGTTTCAATAAATCTCTAGCACATTGTTTAAATTTGTCTTCAGTGGAACATCTTCAGTTAAGAAAAAATAAATCCATCTATTTTGGGTTTGTCAAGGGTTCTAATAAATCACAATATGAATAGTAAATTTAGTTTGTTCCTAGCATAGTATAGGAAATTGAATTGATCCAAAAGTAGTTTTCTGTGGATTAAGATATTATCTGATTTATTATATCCTTCAGTGAGGCTTATCTGGAAATAGCACATTCACAATCATTATGAATTCGTATTCACTGTTCAAACAATGCCAGGTTAAATATTATAAACATATGGGGCCTTTCATTTTACTCTTTCTTGAGTTAATTACCACGTTTTTACTTTTTTCTCAAATTGCCTCATTTTTACTTAGTGTAGTATGCTACCAATAATAAATAAGAAGCTAGCCATCAATTTTTATCTTAACAGGGAGAACCAGGATCTCCAGGAGTCCCAGGAGTTGATGGAGAGCAGGTAATTTTCAAAGACATATACTGTCATTTAAAGCATCATTATTGATGACCTTTTGTTATAGGTTTGAAGACCAAAAGGCATGAGTGTTGATTTATGATATTCTCTTTTTTTTTTCTTACCTTCTGTTCTAGAGACTACATTAACTCTAAAAAGCAATTGGTTTTAAATTAGGCTTTAGTTTTCTTTGTACGAACATACAAGTTATATGATGCTTTAGATTTGCCTTAATAATCCCTATCAATCTACCAATGACATCTCGGTGAATTTTTATTAGACTTGTAAGATAATTACCAATTTAGTAAGAATTGCCTAATTCTTGTCAGTGAATACAAATAACTCAAGATTTTAAGCTGTGACGGTAGTTTCCACAAAATTAGATATTGTTTACATGTGTTATTTTGACATTGTTTTCTTTTCCCAAATAAAGATTGTACCTAATTTTCTAGATCATTAGAAAAGACAGAAACAAGCAGGACACTTATAGCTTTGTAGAATATGGCAGTATCTCCGAGTGTTTCCCCTAAAACAGAGGTTGACAAACATTTTCTATAAAGGACCAGATAGTAAATGTTTTAGGCTTTGCAGGCCATAGACATTCTCTATCAGATTTTTTTAATGCCACTTAAATTTTGTTTTAAACATTCAGCCTGTACAAAAACAATTCCTGGGCTGGATTTGGCCTGTAAGCCATGGTTTGCCAACTCCTGGTAGAAATGAATCTGACTAGGAGAGTGTGGGCAGTATTCAAAATTCAGAATCTAATCACAAGGATGAGTTTCAAGATTTTTGGTGTTTTCTGGGCTTCCATTATTTACCTAAGAAATGGCTAAAATCAAGAAGATCATAAGAAATCAAAGACATTCTTGATACAGTTTGTGAAATATCCTTCTCAGGAGATAGTATTAGATAAGAAAATTAAGAGAAGGGTTATTTTAATATCAGCGTTATATATTGAAATCATATAACATCACACTAAATTAACATGTGGTAGTTATAAAAGAGACTTTAGGTGATCTGCTATATCCATCAGAGATCACATTAGCATTTAAAAATCTGATGGTATTACCTCCCCCAGTTAGTCATTATAAATAATTTGACATACATAATGACATACTACATGGTATGTCATCCCTACATATACAATAGCTGAATTTTTTTCCTATAGGCTTCACAAGGTCTTCTACTACTAGGTCCAGTGGGTTGGCTCTCCTGCTGCTCTCTTTTACTAGATTCCTGAAACCAACCAGGATCTGATTAACTATAAGATCCATCTATCTATTTAGGTACCTACCCACCCACCTAGTGGATGACTCTGAAGTAGGTGCTATGAAACAGATATACGTAACAAGAAAAGACAAGTTCCTGTCCTTAAGCAGTTTTTGTTTTTTGTTTTTTTGCGGTACGCGGGCCTCTCACTGTTGTGGCCTCTCCCGTTGCGGAGCACAGGCTCCGGACGCACAGGCTCAGCGGTCATGACTCACGGGCCCAGCCGCTCCGCGGCATGTGGGATCTTCCCGGACCGGGGCGCGAACCCGTGTCCCCTGCATCGGCAGGCGGACTCTCAACCACTGCACCACCAGGGAAGCCCGCTTAAGTAGTTTTTAGTATAGAAAATATGAACAGCTTAGTGCAACCAGGGATCCCTATAACCATAATTAAAATAGCTATGATCATCTCTGCTGAAGGATGGGCCATCTGGTCATACTGCAGTGAACCTCCTTGGATGAAAATGCTTAACGATATACATTAATTTCAGTATTAGTATCACAAAATTCCTATTTTTTTGCATTCAAAATACACATATATCTGTTTCCTCACTGAAAAAAGAGAATAAAAATCACATCCTGGATCACCTCATAGAGATGTCACGAGAACAAAATAATAACACTGGAAAAGTGGAAGTATTTCTAAGCATTAATTGAGCATTAGTATATACTGAATGATCTACCTGTCTGTAGATGGGACCATTGAAAACTGTTGGTGATTGGAACCTCTGCCTGCATTTAATGGGAATAGAAGGATATAATGAGTGGAGATGTGAAAAATTTATTTGGACCTTTGTTACTATAACACTAGGTCCTGCTTCAAAATGTATACTGTGCATTAAACCCATTAATTTGTTTTCAGGACTGGTGATATAGAATTAGGTGCCAGGTAAAAATGTGGAATCAGGAGAAATGATGTCAACACTTACATTCCT